AGCAAAACAGCAATATTGTTAGTAAACTTTCTATTTTAAAAATCTAAATAATTTCTGTGATTGCAAAGGCGAATTTTCAAAAGCCAGTCTTCAGTGTCACATGATCCTTCAGAAATAATTCTAATATGCTGATTTGGTGCTCAGAAATCATTTTTTATTATTATCAATGTTGAAAATATTTGTGCTGCATAATATTTTTGTGGTCACCATGGCAGATTTTTAAAAATTCTTTTATAAAAGTAATAACAGCATTTATTTGAAACAAAAAGACAAGAATCTTTTGTACCATTATAGATCTTACTGACCCCAAACAATAGTTATATTTATTTTCCCCAAACATTTTTTTTTTGGTGACTACAGTATGCAGGCCTTGCAAAAATACCCCAAACTTTAGCACAGAAAAAAAAAACATGGAAATATTGTCCAGGCAGCAATAAAATAAAGTAAAAATGCTCAATGCATCTGCTTTTAATGAGTCTCAGGAGAGCTGCACAGACAATACCAATACTATCAATACCAATACTATACGGGCATCTCAGAATTCTTCATTTCTGATATATATGTTAAATCAGGGTGTTTCGTGGACCCCTGCTATCTCTCAGCTGGCCTCTGAGCTGTACTGCTATGAAGTGAGTTCAGAATTTAAGACTGCTTTTGTAGGTGATGTCATGGTGGAAATGTCCAGACATCTGTCAGCCTCACAATTTAATGTGGAACCTCTCTGTGCTTTCGCTAAAGATAAAACAACACAAGGACATCACAGACCTGGAAAAACTACAAGATGGGAACCATCATTATTTTCCATTAGAAAATACATAAGGTACAAGGCATTTAAATCTGGGGAAATTTCTGAGTTTTACATCTTTATGTAATCGTCCCATTACTTCAGGAAATTGCTCAAGCGTCAGAGCATTAAGCTGGAATCTTAATTCTGGCCAAGACTTCAAAGTGTTTTCATATACTGCACGTCTCTCGAAAGGTTTCCAGGTGAAGATCATCAAATAATTTCAAGCTTCATTTCTTCAGTGTGGAAAATAGAAAGAGAAAGAATTCTGTTTTGCCCAAAATGTGTACTCGAAATCACCCGAAGCAGTGTCACAGGTCAGCGCTGAAGGACACCAGTGGAAAGATGCTGCCGGAATGTGTCAATTCCATTAGAAGAGGCCTTCCAACAGCCCATAATGGGAGCGAGGGACCTCAACCGTGCAGTATAACATGACATATAGGTTTAACGGTAAAGAGAATTCCCTAAATGGGAAACAACCGGAGGTGGCTAATCCTACACAGAGGAGCCATTAGTGAACTATACCAGGGTCTTTCCTATCGTAATGGACCAGCCTGGAATATAAACATTCTTCATTCTTTAGATGGCCATAGACACTACAGAGTTGGAGACGATCTCTGACACATCATTTATCAAAGCTCTCTATGAGGTGTTTAATTACAAATGAATCCAGTGAACAGAAGACAACAAGGCTTTCGGTTTCTGACAACATCCTGAGTCTAAAGTCTCTCCTGGTATGGGGACTTTTTACTGTGGCAGTTTTCACTTCTACTTTGGACTTTTATAACTTATCAGGTTTAGCTGCACTTTAGATCAGCAGCACTAGACACTTAGCATGCATATTAGTCTGTAGCACATTTGCAGAAAGAGGCAACACAAGGCGTTTTCACGGCTCTAAACAGGTCTTTCGTGAAGATGAAATAAAGTAACAAATCATCAGGATTTAAAATCATGATCTGTGCTGCGCCTCTGTAGACCTATTACAGATGTGCCACTTCCTTGTGAATAAAATTATGGCCATGAGTTGACGGGTCATTTTTTTCTGTTTACTCATTACTAATACATGGGTAGTTGACTTGAAATACATTTGGGATGCTGATGTGTGATGCTATATTTCTAAAATGACTTTAAACTTTTAAAAAATAATTGTATTATGATGTCACTTTTATGGTCTCTCTAGAATTTTGAATCTATGTAATATTTGTACTTAATTTTTTTTGTATAAATTGTCACACAACAGGACTAAATGAAATAAATAATTAAATAAATGTTCAAATTAATACAAAAAGACCAAATAAATAAATAAACAACAACAGCAATAATAAATTCATAATGTCCATAGACTCTGTTTCAGGTGTAGCACCAATTAATAAAAAATGTTGATTAAAACAAAAACTCACACAAGTCATGGAAACACTATGCTACTTATGGAGTCAAAGGCATGGAAAACATTAATTGAATAGTGTATCTTGCCTGCCACCCAGTATTTATTTTGCTATATGCTGACCTATCATACTGTACTATATAAATGTGAATCAAATTCAGTTTCAAAATTTTTTCTTTCCACCAACTTCTTTTAAAGGTCAAAAGATACTTTTACTCTATCTTCCTCTAAAGATGCTTAACAATCAGCACATAAAGTGTTTTGGCCTTGCTGGTGTATGCAGACATGCCTATTATGAAGAAAAATGAATGCGTCATACATGGAAGCTACGGCTTCCTTTTCTTAATAGAGCCATAGTTTAAGATGATTATCTGCGAAGCAAGGAGACAAAACACATCTGGTTACTGTTCCAAAAAACGAACACAAAAAAGTCTAGATTTCCATATCCACGTCATTTACTGCGAGTACTACAACCATGCCAATGTCAACAGTGCAGAGAAACACTGAGCTCTGCCAATAACTGTAAAAGCTCACTTTATTTTTATACCCAGACTCCCCCAGCACAATTGCTATAGACTATGAGAGGCATTACACTAAGACCGTACTTTGTCACCTTTGTAAAATATAATAATCAGGTGTGCTGTAATGTGTGCACTACAGTGCACGCTGTGCGGTTTAGTTAGGACACAAGAACTATGACATCACGCTAAAACACAGTGGGATATTGTGTAATTTGTAAAATACAGGGCAGTAAATGTTTAGCCAGACAGTACAGACTCACAGTTCTGAATCGTTCCATTGACTACGTCCATGTATTCTTGGCTTTGCTTGTCTTCAGTAGGTAAGAGCACATTAAGGCCTGTGGAAAGTATATTCATCTTAGCATGAATGTCTAAACACTGTAGGCTACATAAGGCCATTTTAAAGCCTCTAGTTTACATTTATACATTCAGCTGAGTTTTACAAAACCAACAGCTTTTAATGAATAATAATTGCAACTCAATAATATGTTAATAACATGTTGCTTTCAAGTAAGACGGATCATTTACTAACAGGTTGGTCTGTTTACTGCACAGTATCAAACATTAAGACCAAACATTTTATCCATGTTCGACTGCCATCTAGTGGACAGCATCTAACATTGAATGAATTTTACAGAAAAAGTTTATCTAAAAATTGAAATGCTTCAATTACTCTCAGTCATGTCGTTCCAATCCCATGGCCATGTGATTTTCTTTCTTCGGTGGAACAGAAAAAGGAGAATGTTTGAAGACTATCCTGGTCACTCGTGTCAATAATGACTGGGTACTGATAGGCTGGCAAGCTTTAAAAAGGCACAAAAACAACACAAATCACGAAAGTAATGGAGTTGTTCGGGGTTTTTTTTCCACCAAGTCTTTTGAAAGTCATGGCACTGCTTTGTGTGAGAAACAGACCGAAACTGTAGTTTTATTCACTAATCATCACTCCCTCAAATGAGCTGTTTACCGCTCTTTTACCTAATCCTTTTGGGTGAAAAATACTAATACTTACTAGCAAAAATACTAAAATTAATAGTATGTCGTTTTGAATGCAGCATGTTAATGAATGAATGATTCACCGGTTTTGTAACTTGGATCAACCGATTCATTGAAAACATCGGACTCAAAAGACTCGTATCCACTTCTCTAACGAACACAATCAGTAGAGTGAACAACTATTTAAACTTGGGTCCTCACACAAAGCCTTCCAACGACTTCAACTCAGTTATATACTGTAATGCAACTACTTTATGACCGTTTTTAATCATTTGACAACCATAGTCCCGTTCACTTTTATTATAATGAAATGAGTGTCCAAAAAGAGAGCCACATAGATAGACATGATGGTTCAATAATAATTTTTTTAAATAAATTGAAAATAAATTTTTAAAAAAAACTGTTCCTGTAAAATTTTAAAAAGCTTATACCTTTAAGTAAATGTTTTAAGTGTTATTTTCAGAATATAAAGGAAAACTCAACAGGGCTACTCTACACAGCATACCTTAACAGCCCTGTTGAACCATTAATACTAATAATAACAATAATAATAATAACAACAACAACACATCCAGATCCATCACTTTTCTCACATTTTATTGCACAAGACTGCTCAACCACATTTAAGGTGGTCATAGTAGAACCTAAAGCAGGACTTCCAGCTACTACCATGAGACAGATAATTAAAGCTGAATGCACTGGTGTTCACCCTCTGATTTAATACAGATAACGGAATAAACAAGAGTTGGTTATCAAACGTGTTTCACAACCAATGACTTTGTCTCACTAATTAGTGCCACACAACTGCAAGTAACATTTTGCTTGTCTTACAGCAAATACAAAATATTAAATTAACACAAAAACTAGATAAAGCATTAATCTAAATGTGTTTATTAACACTGAGAAGAACTGGAGTTGGAACCATGAAATATGACAGCAGATGATGTCACTGTAATTACAAGCATTTAGATACATCAGCAGGGGGCGCTACAAACAGAGCGAGAAAGAGATCACTGCACAAAGCATCTGGTACAAGTGTAGGCGTAGTGTGTGTACTGTTAAGTAACTGCGTTCCTGTAAGTGATGTGTGTGTGTGTCTGTTAATATTTACACTCACTTCACCAAGATAATGAATGTCTTCATGAGCAAGAGAGAGGTTGTGTAAGTTTGTGAGTTTAGTGGCACGTTGTTTAACTTCTCTGTTTATGCGTCAGAGTGTGTTTATGTTTGTGTGTAGCTCGTGTGTGTTACGTTCTCAAGTTGCCAGGGGGCCAAAGCTAAGCTCCACATGGTGTGTGAGCCAGACGGCCTCACTGGTCTGGTGTTCACCCTCTGATTTAATACAGATAACGGAATAAACAAGAGTTGGTTATCAAACGTGTTTCACAACCAATGACTTTGTCTCACTAATTAGTGCCACACAACTGCAAGTAACATTTTGCTTGTCTTACAGCAAATACAAAATATTAAATTAACACAAAAACTAGATAAAGCATTAATCTAAATGTGTTTATTAACACTGAGAAGAACTGGAGTTGGAACCATGAAATATGACAGCAGATGATGTCACTGTAATTACAAGCATTTAGATACATCAGCAGGGGGCGCTACAAACAGAGCGAGAAAGAGATCACTGCACAAAGCATCTGGTACAAGTGTAGGCGTAGTGTGTGTACTGTTAAGTAACTGCGTTCCTGTAAGTGATGTGTGTGTGTCTGTTAATATTTACACTCACTTCACCAAGATAATGAATGTCTTCATGAGCAAGAGAGAGGTTGTGTAAGTTTGTGAGTTTAGTGGCACATGTTGTTTAACTTCTCTGTTTATGCGTCAGAGTGTGTTTATGTTTGTGTGTAGCTCGTGTGTGTTACGTTCTCAAGTTGCCAGGGAGCCCAAGCTAAGCTCCACATGGTGTGTGAGCCAGATGGCCTCACTGGTGGCTTCTCCCTCCTCAGTGGGTCTGATCGGAGCAGCGAGGTTCCGGAAGTCATGTCGGAGTTTGAAAGCGACTGTGACATTACCCTCCTCCCTCTGCGGAATCACTTTGATGAAAAAGCCAATCTTGTTTGACTTTCTAAAGGCCACCACACTGAAAATACAAGAGGGCAGACTGTTATTCATGAAGGGTAAAAACACAGAAACCAATGATATCAGATGATTAAAAGCAGACATCCCAAGAAAAATTACTAAATGCAAAGTTTCTTGACTTCAACAGCATTTGTAGCATAATAGTGATTACCACAGAAAATAATTTTGGCTTTCACCTCACAAATAAAGCTTCTACATGCTGTATGTACATTTTTACCTTGAAATATCAGTTTCAAAATCATTCTGATAGTACACTTATAATATGGCGAATGATTTCGGTTTCTTTTCCACACTCCCCCTCACACATCTGTTCTAGGAGTATGTAAGTTTGATAAGCGGGTACGGAATTCCACTAAAAGGGCATACAGTTTTACGCATAGCTATCCACTGTAATTACAACAGTGATATACTATATACACTACTTAACTGTAGGGAGCTCCAAAGTTGCATAAATACACATAACTACACAACAACAATTCTTTAATGCATAAACAGAGGTTGATCTAAAAAAGTATTCCAACTTAAAGAACAGCTTGGAAAATAAATCCTATAAAGCTTATATTTGTGTGGGCATACAGTTTTACGCATAGCTATCCACTGTAATTACAACAGTGATATACTATATACACTACTTAACTGTAGGGAGCTCCAAAGTTGCATAAATACACATAACTACACAACAACAATTCTTTAATGCATAAACAGAGACTGATCTAAAAAAGTATTCCAACTTAAAGAACAGCTTGGAAAATAAATCCTATAAAGCTTATATTTGCGTCAAACCACTTATATTTAACATTTTAAAACCCTGAGAACACTGACCCAGATTACTTTGCATTTTAAGTGCCTTGACTCGAACCACAATTTCTGACTTTGAGCAAAACCCGGGGTCAATTATTTTCTGTGGTAATCAGCATTATGCGGCATGCACGGTTGATAATGCTTTAATAGCATTTTTTTTTTAAGAATTTTGTTTGACGTTTTCTACACTGATTGTGGTAGGAAATTGCAGAATTTCACAGAATGGATTTAAATACAGCTATAGTTAATAGATAGTTTACCCAAAAATTCTGCCATCATTTACTTACCCTTAAGTTGTTTCAAACCTGTATGAACATCTTTCTTCTGCTGAACACACAAGAAGACATTTTGAAAAATGTTGGTAACCAAACAGTTGCTGGTTGCCATTGACTAGTATGGAAGTCATTGGGGACCAGCAAGAGGTTGTTTACCAACATTCTTCAAAATATGTTCTTTTGAGTTCAGCAGAAGAAAGAAAAGTCATACAGTACCTGAAAGCATCATCAAAATACCCAAAGATATTTCAGGAACTGGGGGTTTCACTTAGTGAATGACTGATGTTCAAATTCAAAGTAGATTACATGCAGCCCTACTTATTAATAAATAATAACCCATTCACAGTCTGAGCCCCAGACTCTATATTACTGCAATCTCATCTTCTTGGTAATAAATTAGCTAAATTAGTTTATCTGCTCTCAGTATCCATCAGCAGAGGTGGTTCTTACTCTGGGTCATCCTGAAAACCCTGAGGTTCTGCCAGTTCATCATACTCAGCGGCCGCATCTTTCCCTGCCAGGACCAGTTCTTTTGAGGGCACCAGCACCTATTAAACAATAATATTTCATAATAAAATCATGGGGGCACAACACAAGGCAATGACACACTGCAGCGCAGTGATGGTGAGGCTGTAATGACTAGCATTTCCCCTGCAGTGGCCCACTGAAGGTAAATAATGTCTGTCTGGAGACTGAACTGAGTGGTTGTTGTTGGAGAGCCATGCTTCTGCTTCAGCTCAATCTAGATAAACACACCTGTCCGTGTCCAATTCAATAACCAACCACCAGCCATCATTACAGGACATATACAGTTCTTAAAATTCATTTATATCATTATAATTCATCTGTACTGTTAGAGATATAGGCTCAGCTGTGGTGTTTTACCTTAGCAGTGCTGTTAATATCATCTGGGTCTGCTTCTTCACAGGTGTACAGAGACACATGGGTGATGCTCTCCACTGGGTTGGTCAGGGTCAGCAGAACCTGACTCTCCTGTATTACAACAAAACACTACAATTACTTATAAATTAAAAAAAAAAGTCTATAGTTTAAAATGTCAAAGAAGTGTAACCAGACTAAGCCTCAAAAGTCAAATAGTCTTAATGTATTTACAATTTATTAAAAATGGAACACAAATAAATAAACTGCATAATTTTGTTTGTGTCCAAGCATTACTCAAACTTGCCTTCATGTGACGCAGGTTTGGAATGGACATGATTCTCACTTCAGGAATATAGCTCCTGTAAAGAACAACAAAAATCGTTAGTTGGTTCATTTCATCAAATATACACTCTAAAAACAGCAAATAAGAGAATTTAGGTCACATACACAGGACTTACACTGCCACAAGCTGGATTTTTAACTTTATTGAAGTTGGATTAAATTCTGGTTTGCTCAGATTGTGCTCACATTTCTGAAATTAAAGGATGAGGAACAGTAATTAACAGCACTTTTAAAGTGTTATTTAACAGTTTTGCAGATTAGCTCACAGGAATTTAATACAAATATGAACTCAAAGAGCATTTAATCTATAAACTATATACATTTGTATTTTGTGGCCATTAAGATTTTTTTGTTCTTTGAAAGAAATTAATGCTTTTATTTAGCATTAAATTGATCAAAAGCAACAATAATGCTATTTTAAGTTCTTGTGAACTTTCTATTCATCAAACAATCCTAGAATATATATTATATATAAAATAATAAAAAAAAACAGTGATAATAATAAGAGCACCAAATCAGAATATTAGAATTATTTTTTTTTTTATTCGTCGGTTACTCCAATGTCCAGAAACATACAGATACAGTCTCAAACATACATTATGGGAAAAAAGAGGAAGAAAGAAATACATTAAAAAAAAAAAAATCAATCATAACAGGCAGGAAAGTAATTATACCCAGTAGAATAGGGAATCAGGGGAGGTTATTAACATAGAATGATTTCTGAAGGATCATGTGACACTGAAGACTGGAGTAATGGCTTCTACAAATTCAGCTTTGCCATCACAGGAATAAATTGCATATTAAAATATACACTATATTGCCAAAAGTATTGGGACACCCCCTTCTAATGAACAGGCAAGGTTAAAAAAAGAAATGATTGATTCAGTCAGTGTGGAAGAATTTGTCTGGTCTGCATAAAGCCAAGTCCTAATCCCAGCTGGGCACCTCTGGTGTGACTTTAAATGCAGACCTTGAGCCAAAAACTCATCACCAAACACCAATGACTTGTACATATGGGTACAGTCATTTTAGACACTTCCAAAACTGTTGCAACAGAGATGGAAATAAAATTTTTAAATACATGAATTATGTTTCCATCTTTGTTGCCACAGTTTTGGAAGTGCCTTTTTCTGTTCTAAAGTAGCGGGTCCCAATACTTTTGTCCATATAGTGTATGTACAAGTCATTGGTGTTTGGTGATGAGATTTTGGCTCAAGGGGCCTCATTTATAAAGCGTGCGTATGCTCAGATTTGATCTTAGAGTGTGCGTACACTTAAATCCACACCAAGGCTCATATTTGTAAAAACTGGCTTTGATGTGGAAAAGTGCTTAGCGTCACATCAGTGTCTGAGCAGACGTACGCACTTTTTCTTGGAGTACTGCAGGTTTTTGAAAATGTAAGCTGTTCATGCAGCTCACTGTTCTAAATTAAAGAATATGGATGATGACTGGTGATCTTTTACATGTTAATGACATTAATTAGGAGTCGTTTACAAGGCAGAGAGCTGAAACAATTAATTTGCGTGCAAGTTCAAGATAATTTGCGATTCACAGATTTCACATCTGAAAGAGAGGCATATGTGCGTTTTCTGTGCGTACGTTCATTATGAATCACACGTATGCATATTTGAGAGATGATCGTAAGATCAATTTTAGGATGGTTTCTGCGCAACATTTTATAAATGAGGCCCCAGGGGCCTGATGTATAAACGTTGCGTACGCACAAAATGGGCATGGAAATGTGCGTATGCAATTTTCCACGTACACACTGGGATTTAAAAAAAATAAACTTGCCGTAAATATGTGCGCACCGTACGGGTACTCTAGACCGTGCGTACGCACTCTTTTACTGGCGTAATAGCGAAGTAATGATTTCAGACTCGCTCTTGCAGCTCTTTTCCTTTCAATACACACATTTAGATTAAATATTCTGCTCATTAATGGAGTTAAGCACTGACATTACATAACGTCATTATTCAAAAGTTATATTTTGATATTCAGACATATTTGTCGTGGATGCGCTGTCTTTTGATCACTTTTCTTCTTGCATGCTGTTTTAATGACAGCGAGGAGTGCTAGACACACATTAATGTTTCTTTAAACTGCAGATCTCATGTTAAGAGAAAATATTTTTAGCAAGAACATCAACGATGCACACTTACTGGATTCGGTGGTCGAACGGTCCATTGGTAGGTTTAAATAGGTCCGATTATATTAACCTACTGCACAACCAAGGCTGCACGGAGGTGTTTATTTCGCGTGAAGGCAGACTTCTTCTGCGATTTTCAGAACGTTCTGAAAATAGCATTGAGATTGAAGGATATAGTCTGAAGCAAACGGTAAGATTTGCACGTTTCTTTTTTATAATATTTTCTCAGTGACGCCACGCCAGACAATTATTTACACTTATTTACACACACCGTATTTCTGATTCTACTATAGTCTATTTAAATATCCTAAAATATATGTTAAATATCCTAAAACATTTGATTTGTTTAAAACAATTATATACTGCTTTGGCCAGTGGAAAAGAAAGAGATCCATTCTATTCTAAAAAGATTCTCTGAGAAGTATTTTATACAATTTTGCTTTTACATTCATTTAGATATATGTATTCGAAAACAAGGTACAATGTAATGTACCGTACAAATAGCATTTTAGTCCGCATGTCATATTTTCCTGACGTCTTTTACCTTTGATGGTGTTAAACATGGTGTCACGTGGATGGGAATATGCATGGAAATGACATGCAGATGAGGTTATGCATAGTAAAACTAGGCATTGTAAGCTCCATATATGGTGATTTTGGGGAGGAGACGCATGTATGCACAATCTTCAGCTGACAGGGATTTATAAAGGGATTTTTGCACAGGTTCTGGCTTTTGTGCGTACGTCAAATCTAGCTTTTGTGCGTATGTACAGTTTTAGGATGACATCTACATAAAGTTTTATACATGAGGCCCCTGGTCTGCATTTAAAGTCACACCAGAGGTGTCCAGCTGGGATTAGGACTTGGCTTTATGCAGACCAGTCAAAGTTCTTCCACACTGACTGAATCAATCATTTCTTTTTGAACCTTGCCTTATACACAGAGGCATTGTCATGTTAGAATAGAAAAGGGTCCTGTCCAAACTGTTGCTATAAAATTAGAAGCACACAATTCCTAAGAACAGTGGTTTTCAAACCTGTCCTGGAGTACCCCCAGCCCTGCACATTTTGTATGTCTCCCTCATTTATCACACCTGATTCAACTCATCAGCTCATTAGTGGAGACCGCAAGACCTGAAGTGGGTGTGTCAGATATAGGGAGACATATAAAATGTGCAGTGCTGGGGGTACTTCATGGAGAGGTTTGAGAACCACTGCCCTAGAATATCATTATATGCTTAAACATTAAACATCATGGAAATTACTAAAGTAGTCAAACCTGTTCATTAGAAGGGGCCCAATACTTTTGGCAATATAGTGTATTTAGATTTGGATTTTTATATAGGTAACATAAGAGACTCCTTTCAAATAGTATTTGTAAAGATTTTACAGAATACAATCTTTTGAATGGTAATCTATATAAAAGAAAATCAGGCTGAATGATATCAGCTCAGTAATTCAACAGCAGCTTCCTGAATGGCTTTCTTCGGACGTAAAGAGAAGCTGTGGATGTATTTACAAACCTTGCAACGCAGAGAGCGTTTCATTAGCAGGTGCTTGTGTCTGGGGTGCAGCTGTGAAGCTCCTGCAGGCTGAAAATCAGGCTGTAGCAGCCTCTGGCGAAGAGTCGTTACTGCATTGAAACACAAGTAACGTTTAAAATATGCATCATATAACCACGTCAATAAAGATCTAGTCACGATCGCCTTTGGATAGCAAATTTGGTTCAATTATATCAATTTCAATTCTTACACATTTGATCCTGAACATGCAACCTCCAAAATCACCCTTTGTCACCTGTGAGTCTGGATCTATATGGCTGTGCCTATGATTACTGCACTACAAATGGTATCAGATTTAAATAGTAATTAAGTAGTATTACTGGGTGAAGCAGGGATGAGACCAACCTTCAGGAAGGTTGACAGGACGAGTGTAATAGTCTTCAGGCAGGGGCTCCACTTCATCCAAAGCCTGTGCTGGTTCTACGGTGATCTCCTTCTGGTCCTCTCCTTCTTTTAATCTGAAAACAATACAGCATCATACAGACAAAGTCCACAATCATTTAAAATGTGATGCATCAATTATATTGGTACTCAACATAATTAAACCTGCCTTAACAAACACCACTAAGCAGAAGGATGTACCATAACATGTTTTTGAAAGGCAATACTTACGAAAGGCCATACAGGGCACTGGTTGGGGCTCCAGATCTCTGTCTCTGTAGTCTGGTTCCCAGTCCATACTTCTCCTTTCAGACATAAATACAGACCACGTAAGTCTATGATAATAAAGAGTTATTCTAGGTTTAAGGTACAGCTCATTATTATTAGATGAATGCTAGTGTCAAAGTGTTTGCTGAAATGGTGCATTTAGTAATAGTTAACAGTTTAAGCACAAACATTGTCCAAAAACTTGCTTTCCAAGAAACCGATTGATTGACTAAATGATTGATTCTGGGTGAAATCTTGTTCTAAATCTATATAATCAAATAAGTCTGCAGCTAAACTCCAAACATAAATACCAGCCAACCAGGACTGTCCCTTTAAAGATATCGCCTGCCAAATACAAAGATTCGATTGTGCATAGAATTCCAAGTAGCAATAGTGAAGCTCATGTGATCAGCAAACTCATTTAGTAACAGATTAGACATAAAGACCTTCTTAGTGTTTCTGTAAGAATTGTGGGCAAAAAAATACCACTCACCACCACGTGAATAGTGTGTTGCTGGAGAGGGGTATAAAACCAAAAATATCAGTGTGCACAAGCAAAGAAAAGGAGAGACACAGAATCAAGTGAAACAAATGCATTCAAGCAAACATTAAAGTGGCAGTTTGAAGCACAAGGAAACAAGGATTGCATTAGTGAACAAAACATGCAGCTCAAAGTAATGTCAGTAACCAGTCATGTATCACAGGGTTAGAAACTAACCATTTCAAGCCCTCATTTCTCCAAATTCTCAAAATTTAGTGCATGCTTGGTTAAAACAAAAGCTTACTAACCCCCAACTTTTAAACTGTAATGTATATGTACACCAAACATTAGAAAAAAAACATGTTTTGTAGTCACATTTCAGACCCTGCCAGGTTTAGTAAACTTTGCCAGATTTGATGCGAATTTAAAGTAAAGATGATTTTAGTTTTGTACTAAATGTGCAAAAAACTGGTTTAATAAATAAATAACAACAAAATAGCATTACTTCAGTCTAACTTTTAAGTATTTTGACAAGACTCTGCCCATGTTTAAACTCTAGACAAGACAAACCACTCTCCCGTTTAGTGCTTACTAAATGGAAAGTAAATGTTAGGTTAGAAGGGTGTTTCTAGACACAGTGGTGTGAATGTTTACCGAGAACGCCTGAGGCATGAACGGGCGTCTTCGTGCCAGCTTCTTCCTGTCTCTCTCCAGCTTCTCTCTGTGGGCCAGCTGCTGGTAATACTCAATCAGCTTGTTGATCTATATAGAAATAATAACTGACTTGTCAGCTACTTGAGAAAGTCAGATAGAAAATGTAATATTCATTTAATAAAAGGAGATCTTGTTTAAACATACCCTCTGAGTATGAGGGTTTTCTGGTTCCTGCCATCCTCCACTGGCTAAAATATAAAACGAACAATGTTTACTACAATGTGCATGCAGATTAATGTTCTAATCAGACACAAAATTACAATATATCAAACATTTTTTGGACACTTGATTCTATTTCTATCATGTCCCAGCCCAGAGTGAAATATAATCGGCACAAAATACTGATTATTAAAATTCATATTCTGTGATGTGTCCGTTTAAATCTAGATTAAAGACCCATCTCTTTAACCTGGCTTACACATAACACACTAACACATTTCTAATATTCAAATCCGTTAAAGGATTTTTAGGCTGCATTAATTAGTACAACTGGAACCGGGAACACTTCCCATAACACCCGATGTACTTGCTACATTATGGAGCCAGAATTCTCTCAATAACAATTCATGCAAAAGACGCGATGCACACATGCATAACCCAATTCACATGCATGAGAAATAATTCACTTGCACGAAAAATATACAGTGGGTACGGAAAGTATTCAGACCCCCTTAATATATTCATAAAATATGTGTCACAAATGCAAAACACAATTCACAGATGTACAACTGTGTACAACATTTTTGAATGTTGAAAATGACGTCAGTATCCAGGTAGGCACGCCCAGATTCATACGCCCACAGTGGGTTATGATTGGTCGACTGACAGGCTCAAATCTGATTGGCTAAAGAGTACGAGTGTCCCGCGTGGAAGGAGTTCGCTGCCAGAAAGGTCTCAAAATTCACACTCAAATCCAAGGCGATTCACATTCACAGCCCATGATAAACTCCTGATTTTTTCAACATTCAAAAATTTTGTACACAGTTGTACATCTGTGAATTGTGTTTTGCATTTGTGATATTTTATGAATATATATTCTTATTTTTGTGCACGTGAATTGGTTTTTGTGAATTTATTTTCTTTTTTCATGCACGTGAATTATTTCTCATGCATGTGAATTGGGTTACACATGTATGCATCAGACACAATCTGTACTGTTAAAAGCGCTATATAAATAAAGGTGACTTCACTTGACGAGTAGGGTTGGGAATCGAAAATCGATTCCGATTCCAGAATCGGATACTTAAGGTCAGGAATCGGATACTTGTTGTCAAATTAAAATTTTGATTCCGCCTATTGATTCCTATGCGCTTTTTTTCTGTGAGGACCAGACCTAGCGATCTGCCAGGACTTTGCTCGCTAATCCAAGCACTCCAAAGTTTGGCTACATTTGCGATCAGAAGCCAAAAAAGCCAAGTATAATATCTGTGATAGCTAAACATGTTGCAAGAGAGGTGTCACCACCAACATGACAAAGCACTTTAATTTAATAGATCGTTAAAGATCGCGAACACGATTCAAACACCAATGTGATTCTATTCCAAAAATTACAATGGTTCATCTGTTTCATTCCTCAACTGTGTGCGATTAATGTTGTGATCACTTGGTTCGTCCGTGCAGAGTACGATCACACCAGTGTAATTTTAACATTTAAATTTGCGTTTGCGCTACCATTGACCTAAAGAGAGCAGCTGTCTGTCATGAATGAAACAGCTTCACAGTCTTTTCAGCCACACAGTATCATTATTTCTGTATTACAAACATTCAAATCACATAAATGTTTATAGTTCAGATATAAACTGTGTGTACGATGTATATAGTAGCGATTAAAATAGAGTGAATCACCTTTTAAAAGTAATTTGACACTTCAAATAGCGATTTATCGATTACATTGTTACGCCAGTAGGTGGCGAAAAGGGGCTGTTAAATTTGTCTTTGAATCAGACAAGAGATTCGTTCAAAGAACGCCGATTCATCCCGTAATGAAACAAGTACATCTTGAGTACATCATTTAATCATTAATTCATAAATTACATGTGATTTTGTTTAGTTGTCTAATGTTTTTTCTTCAGAATCATGAGAGAACCACAA